TAAGCCTTTCACTATTGATTTTTTAAATGTTTAGTGATTGTTTATGCTTAGTGTTTACCGTAAATATAATTATTTTTATTTAGTTCAAAATTGTATATTCTTCAAGCTCACCTTTATAAATATCTAAATATATAAATACTTAATACATAGGTTTTAAAATCTTTTAGCAGTCGATCTTTTCCACTTGTAGGTAATTTAATCGCGTCAATCGAAACATGCTTAATATTGTGTGATCCAGTGCGTGTTATTTAAGTTTTCGTTATTGAACAAGTTTTTCTGATTTAGTCATCTTAACTTAGTGGTAATATTAAACGGACATTTTTAACTTTTGGAGAATGGTTAGGAATAAAGAATTTAAATAATCATGAATTATGACAAGATGATAATGTTATATTGTTGAATAAGCTCTGGTTTATAGTATTATTATACGTTTAGTTTGGAGTGGTGAAAGAAAATATTATATTGTTGAAAATAGTTCCTTTATACGGAACATTGTTTGTTTTTTCTATTTATTTACCTTATTTAATTTAAAAATCGTTTGACAAGAAAACTAAATAAAAGCTACTTGATGGGTATTTTTAACGCAATAAGTAAGAGAAGAGTGCCTGGCAGAAAGATAAGGAAAATACTCAAGTCTGTCGTTGTTAAAAAGGTCACAAAATACTCGCAGATAAACCTCAACAATGTTTTTAATATTATGTGAATTGTGTATCGAAGTGTGTACGCGCACACTATATATGGGTATGCTATTCCCCTTTTCAAGTAACTCCCAATGACCCCGATAACCCAATTATTACTCAATACATGGTATTTTACTTGGATTTTACGCGCATTTAAATGTACCGAGTGGTGCTTCTGAATAGAACAATAAAAACCTCGTTATTTTTCGTTCAGTAGGTTTTTATTTTTTTCAAACCAATTAATTTGTACTATTTAACTAGGGGCTATAGGATTCATATTTTTCTGCTATAGGCATTTATAATAATTTTATTTAGAGCTATGAATATTATATCATTATTCTTTGACAGCCGGATGTATGCACTCTAAAATAGTTGCATTTGTATATTGTTTATACGCGTTTTTATCTTTTAAATACCTAACCTACCTACTTATATGATATTGAATCGTTTTTATAATTGCACTATCTTACTCGTTTTATTGGCAGAAAAAAAATAATACCTCACTAACGTATAATAATATTCTAAAATTATATTATTTCATACTGAACCTATTCGGTGTGTATCTCGATAGTTGGCTGTACTGACTTCTGTATACAGTGTTTATTTATCTTAACTCTGTCAAGTGAGATCCTGTACATCCCTATGTGACACCCTGCTATTGAGACCGGTTTTATTTTATGGCTAGGTATCGCAGCAGAATGCATAGAAGAACCAATTTTTGTCGGTCTCAACGAGTTCTCTTACTTGACAGAGTAATATTCGTAGACTCAAAATCTAAGATTATTATACATTTTGAAAACTTAATTTTAAATATTATTTTAACAATTATTTTTTTATAGTCCTATACTGTTTATAACGTAATATAATATCAATAGACTCACAAGTTGTTTTAAATTCTTCTTCTAGACCTGTTATTAATGTATTAATATTTTTCGAATTTGCTGGATTCTTAATTTTATCTTATTATGATTAAATTTTCTGATGTATTTTTTGTATGCTATATTATTTCTAACGACCGTTCATTTTTTACTTGTATATATTTATATATATTGTTATAATTGTTGAGCAGTATTAATTTAGATTTTGGAAGCTAATATATAAAAAAAAAAAAATGATATAAGATGTTCAAAACGCTAACCGCAGATGAACATTTTCTTCTTTTCTTATATATTAACTGTAAATATATAAAAACTGGTTTTTCGTCTAGATTTAACCAATTATTGTGTGTACTGTGTTAAGAGTGTTAAGACTACAAGTGTGTTATAAATAAGTTGCATGTCATACTGTGAACGTCGTATGAAGTATAGGTTTTTTTTTACTTATTGCTGTTTATACTTAATGATGTAGATCGGAGGTTGTGTATTCGCTATTTTAGAGTACTGTTGTTGGCTTTTGTCAAACATGGTATATCAATTATACTGTGTCGATTTACAATATTTTAGTCCCTTATTACATACGTATTATTAACCTCCCACATTTAATATAATTGTTTTTATAATAATGTGTTATTTTTTTTTTTTTCGAAAAATGTTATATAAATTATTGGCGCTTCGACTTAGAGCGCTGTAGTATGTTCGAGTAATGTTTTTACGAAGTAGAAAAAAAAACAATGTAAAATGCCTTCGTTCGTCGCAGATGACTAAACGCAAATATTCTTTTTATATTTTATATATTATACAATACGCGTGTGTATCAACGCGAATAATATTGCTCTCACACTAGTATGTTGGCAAAGTCTCGCGGCGATGATAAAATGCAGCGTGTGTTGTGTACACGTTGCATGCGTGATGGCGCACCGTCGTCGTGATCCATTGCGACGTCGGATTTAAAATTAACAACCTCTGTCGGGCGACGACCATAATATTATAGTTCTGGTCGTGTGTGTTCATTTTAACTTATAGGGGTAAAAACCGCATAATATAAAGTTGGTGTACAATATTATAGTATAATATTATTGCGCACTTAACGAATGCTGCAAACAGGTGTCGGACGTACCACACATTCGTATTGTAATAATAAATACAATATGATAATGGTAATAACTAATATTAATATTATGTTCGGCATCTGTGATTGAAAAATCCATTTCCTCCGCACCTTGATTGTATATTATGACAAATGTACCGTTAACGGTGAACTTTTGGTCCACGATAACGACGATCAATTTTATTAATATTTATAATATTATAATACTATAATACTATGTTTAAAGTATCTTTATTATGAATTAATTTAATGTGAGACGATGTTGTTTTTTGGCCTTTTTCACATTGCTAAAAACCCTGAGATTTGTTTAATATTTTTATCGTATGATAATTTTAAATCGAATTGCATTAATACAAAAAACTGAACTCAAATGACGAGGAATATATTTTATCATTTAAATTTTATAAAATAAAAAAAATATATACGATTACACGTGTTTTGTGCGTATTTTAACCACGTCGAAAATACATATTAATTATTATTTTACGCCAAACGGAATAATAATTAATATCGTGTATACGCGTAGTTACATATTATCGTCGATTAAGATTTTCATTGCGCAGTGCCTGTATTTTCTATTGTCGATTAATTTATTTTAAGTGCGTTATTATTATTTAAAATCAAAAGTCAGATTTATTTAAATTCAAAACCACTAGTTAAAGTTTATATTTTTAATAAGTTTTAGTCAAGCATTAGTCTATTTAATACTTTATTAGTCATTCCTCATCATAATATTTATCGTAACAATACAGTAGTATATATTTAAATAAATGCGTATCATACTTTAAAACACTCCAAAATTATAATTAAAGTGTTTAAGGTAGGTAGATATAATATGGTAATAATAACTGTGCAAATATTATACTTGTAATCTATATCATAATATGGAAATACGACGAAGAAAAAGATGCCTACATTTCAATTTATTTTTTATTATCACTGTATAATACAATTGTTAACATAGATATTCAATATTTTCTCATATTGTTTTTTTTCTAAAGAAGTTTTATAAAGTATGTACCTACCTTATTGACAATAGAATGTTTCACAAAAGTGTTGGTTTTTCATAATATAAAATTTAACAATTTAATATTCACGGAGTTTACGCGCAAGGCCTGTTTATTGAGTAATAAACACGTTGTTATACTTGTAATCCTTTATATTTATTATGCAGCTCTATTTCAATATTATGATATTTAATAATGTGAGAATTTAAAAAATGATCCATTTATCGCATTTATATATTTTTGAAAACGTTAATTTATTTTGTATTTATAGTTTGTGCTTGAAAGTAGTTTATACGCTATCCGGTATATAAGAGTAGTTTTTACTTTTTATACATATAATTTAATTTAATTAATTTGGTAGATACATAGGTACGTTAATACTTCTGGATTTCGGTTGTTGGTAAAATTTGGTCACATTATAGTATTATATATAGTAGAACACTTGGAAATTAATATGAAAATCAATTTTCTATCAGTTCATTTTAATAATATACTTTTTAATGTATGTTATTTTTGGTCATTAAAATAATAATCAATTTTTATCGTATTATTGGATAAAAATAAATGTTTATTTTAATTTATAATCCTATTTTTTTAATAAGCTACTGTAAGTCGGCCTTTGAATAGTATTGTTGCCCTGATAAGAGGGGAGTATAAACAATATTTTAATTGTTTTATAGCAATACTATGTGTTAAAAATCCTAGTAACAGTTATATAGTTCTTTAATAATAATAATTGATGTTTTTATTCCTACCGTCGTCTTAAACGTGTAAAGAAACTATAAAACCTAAATATATATATATATATATATATATATATATATATATATATATATATATATATATATGCAGATGTATATATGTGTGTATATATTAATCAGTTGAAAACGTGTGTGCGATGAGAGTGATCCAGAAAGCCCTCTGATCATTAGCGTTGCATCTGCTAAAATGTGATTCGCTTACTAATAATATCTTTATGGTCGGTTGCCAACAATCGAAGCGGCAATGATCCCCTCGCGGTCTAGCAGAACGACAGTTGAAAACGTTACGTAAACATTTAATTTCGCGGGTTTTTTTTCGTTAAATAATATAATAGGTTACATAAAACAAGTTTTACATCGTACATAATATTATTAAAAACTGACATTAAAATCTAAAAATCGAAGCGATTCACTCATTATTCATCCATTACAATTGTATTATAAATTATTTTCTGTTACACGCCGTACATAATAATATAAATTATATTTTATTGTGTGTATAATATTTACCTAACAGTGTGATTAATACGGTTGTAATTAATTTTACCATTTTTATTTTGTTTCAGGTCTGATATTCAACTGTCGAAATTGCTCCTTACCATATGATGGGAGTAACTGAAGGTGAGTCTTTTTTAAATACGCATTATTAGTTATTTACGATTTCAATTGTAATTTATAACTGAAAAACGAGTGAAATCTGCTACAATAATAGTATAATATGCGATTTGTTTTATGTGATTAAGAAATAAAAACGTATACATATATTAACAGTGTTCGGAATGATGTTTGAAAATATTACTTCTAACATGTTTTAAATATATATATTATCATATTAATATACTGTGATAATACTAGCTATATATTATATTGTGTATATTATTTATATACTAGACACGGCTATTAATTAATAAATAATATATATTAATTATTGTATCAAGAACTTTCGTCTTGCGATAACTTAAATCTGATTGTTATTATTGCTTTGATTTAAAAAATTGTATGGACGTCATAAAATATATGCACAATAATTATTTCTCGTACTAAAGTTCGTTGGTAAATGGTCGGTTGTTCAGTATAATAAATTAATAATTATTGCTACACGTTTTAGATTTACGCTTATTAGGTGTGTATATAAACGTTTTTTATAGAGAGATTCGAAATAAAAATTAATAAAACGAAGGGCCTAATTCACTTTAAAACATTTAGCTCTTCGTCACACGTATTGTTTCCACCCCGTTTTTTGAACAATACATAAAAAAAACGTTGAACTTTCCCCACGTTATGCTTATATATGTACATATTTGATTGTTTTTACCACCCTCTCTACGCCGAGTATATTTATCGCCCGAAATCTCATATCCCACGATCGATTGAGCGAAATATGTGTAGTGTGTGTGATTCGGGCACCCACTACTACAAATAACTCTCTATATCCGTCGGCCCTTCCTTTCATTTATGATAAATCGTTAATATATTTTAACAGCAACAGATCATCCCCCTTTCGTAATAATGAGATTGGCAATTTGTCGTGGCTAAAAATTTGTTTTTCCACCCTACCTAATCAGAAATAGAAATCGTCGTTACGTTCTCCAGTACACACTATATATTATACATTCGTACAGTATAATGCTATTATTATGTATATTACATTAAAGTGACGTGTGACGTCATTAACCAAATCAATAACATCGTGAGCATTACAATCGTAATGACAGCTATTAGCATTGTGTTATGATAATAATTATTATGAGAGTATTGAAAACTTGAAGTGTACGAGGTAATAATAAGGTGAAGGGCAAACAACAAATTGTGTTTAAATATTTATTTAGCGTTTTTATGGTATCAAAACGATAGTTTTGAGATTGTAATTATTTTTAATCATTCAATATTAGAGTTGTGATGATTATTTATATTTTCAGATGTTTGATACAAAATAATTGGTATATGTTATTATATTAGATCTATTGGTAGTTGGTATATTTGGTATAAAAAAATGTTTGCGGTTTTATAAAGTTTTCTTTTTTGATCTATTAGTATGATTTTTAAATTGAGTTTTATGTTATTTGTGAAGAACATATTGATATGATTATGTTTTGTTAAGCGTGTGCTAGTCTCTTTTTTATATAATAATTATCCACAATAATTTATTTTTACAGTGAGTTGTGGTTACATCGAAATCTAACGGTCGGTATTTTCCATGATGTAACAAAAACTAAAATGCGTTATAATTTTGACCCTCTGCAAAAATTGCTGACTAGTGTCCGCACTATATACGGCGGGTTTCGTTTATGACCATCTGCCGCCTAGTACTTTGTTATTTTTATTACTGGTAAATTGCAAAACAAAAAATCGGATTTATCATCTTATTAATGGATTGAAATTCTCCAAACGTCCACAATGAAAGCTCTCGTTTTTATAGTTTCACGGTGTATATGAGTGTGGTTTTTCATTTTAACAACCGGATTTTTTTATTACTATATGCTCGTATATATGTAGTATAATATTATGTATGAATATGTACACATAAAATACTGGAAATAATTATTCTTTAAATACTTGGAATGACATTGCGTAGTTATATATATGATCAATAGGCGTATTTTTATAAATATTTTTTCAATTTTAATTTTAATCTATAATATTCTTCCCAATCGCGGTATTCGCCATTAAAACGGTCAAATCCGAGAAAATGCCGAATGCCTGCTAATATTATATTAACGCTTGTAAACTCAGAGTTTACACTGAATTTTTCTGTTGTATGTATTATATGCTACTACAGATGTATAGGTACATGAATAAATGTCAATTAAAAATTAAATTATAAAACAGAATAATAATTGTAGTATTGTGCATTGTCGTGTAATAAGTATTATTATAGTGATTTGTAATTAATATTCCAGTTTTCTAGATAAAATTTCCAACCGGATTCGTCTGTATAATTGACAAAAAAAACTCGATTTTTATGCTTTAGTACGCTAATCGTCGTTATTATCCACACATAATAACGGGTTATTCATTGTCGTTAATTAGGGCTTGGTGCTGTCAATTTTTTTTTTTAATAGATTATAAATGGTCGTTTATATTGATTTTAATTGCTTCCACTACGTGCCTCCTCCGCCTCCGCTTCTAATGTCATCGTCATGAGACCACGTTAAATTAACTTGAGCTTAAAAAGTTAAAATTCTGATTTTTTTATAAACGTGCATTATCAGTTGAACATAAAAACGAATAAGTTGTGACTTGTGAGTATTACGTAAATAATGTAAAATGTATATTAAATGCGTGTGGAAAGACAATTTTCGCCCCCAACATTTGATTGTTATTAATTTTTTATTACACTTACATTTCTTTATTTAAAGTTGATTGATTATTTCTTATACCAATATGGTAATCTTAAGTATTGTAATATTTGCTTTTTATTTCCATAGAATAAAATTGCGTTAAAAATCACTCTGTATAATATGCATGAATTGAAACTCGATAAAAATTCATAATTATTATAAATATATGATCAATAATCAGATTGTTATATTTTTTGACCAGTTCGAAATTTATAATAAATAATAATAATGTGATACATCAGACCGCGCTGAGCAAAGCACACTATACAATTACTGTCAATATAGCAGATTCACTTATAATAGGAATTATATGTTATATATAAGATTTTAAAAACTCCTGATATTCACATTTTTGTGTCTTTTTCGGGAACATACTCTCGTACCTATTTCGTTACAAATTTTAATTATACGAATATTTTTTCCCGCGTTTTGTTGTTTTTCATTCATCGACATTCCCTCAAGAAATCAGTCAAATATGTCGCCACTGATGCAACTGTGTATCAATAACAAAAACACTACTTACTCTACTGACAAAAATACTAGTTAATGATCATGGGGAGGGATTTTTTTTCAACTCTAAGGCGGGGCATTAATGAAGAAGTAACAAAAAATTAAAATAAAATTACAACAAAGACAAAAGGAAATGTGAAGACAATGAACTTGGTGATTTGTTTAACAACTTCCGAACAACATCACATGATGCGAGGAGTGTACATAAATCCCATCGGCTCACGCACACGCGCATGATAAATATTGTGTATGTATAATGTATACATAATATATTGTGCTGTCAATAATAATAATAATAATAAACAACGCACTGGCTGTTATAGTCATCATAAACGTATGACTGTACAGAATTTGTCGCGTGGACATGTCAGGAATTAACAAATAATAACAAATAGTGGGTGGGGACTTCGTGTTGGAGTTCATATTTCTTGTTTTACACATATACACACACGCGCTATTGTAATTTCAAATTACCTCTCGTACCATCCGATCGGATGGGAATTTTAAATTTCATATATCGATCTGAACACACAAACACACGTGCACACACATAGACGCACGCAAACTCGTTGTATTATATAATAGTAATAAATAATAATATGAATGTATACCTACGTACATCATCGTCATCGAGTGAGAAGTACATACTTGTAATTTTTACAGGGTACGATAGTGGTATATATTCGGACCCTTCTTGTCTAAATACCGTTCGAGTACTACCCTAAATTTCCAAACTAAAACGTATTTATATCGCTCAAAACACTACGATGAGGGGCTCTTGAGTGTTTTCGAATAGTACGCACGTATTGAATAATATAATATACTCGGTCTCTTTCGCATAAACAATCTGCATACTTTGTTTCCATTAATGTCTGTCGATACGTTTTGGCAAATAACAATAAAAATAATAATCGTGTTATTATTTTGTAAAAACTTCCATTGAATAAGATGTGATTGTATGTAAAAGAAAAATAATCAAATTATATTTTCGCTAAATGATCAAAATCGTATAATAATAATTCCGGTTATCTATTTTTTTAATAATGTTATAATTTGTTTAACCATTGATTATAGAATTCTATAATCAGTGGTTTAACTTAACAACATAATAGTATAAGTTTATAATTACACTGTTCAATAAAATACTCAAAAATATTATAATTTGTATAAAAGGCGATTTTTAAAAAACTAAACACTTATGTTTTCTAAAAGTTGTAACGTTTTCAAAAATATTTTTATTTGATAATTTGAAAATAATTGAAGCAAAATTAAAACAATTTTTTTGTAAATAAATTACATTTTTTACTAATTATAATTGTTGTAATTTTTTAAGTATTACTTTGATGTATGATATAAATGTTTTTATAAAAAGTTTCAAAGTAAAATATTTTACTGAGTATTGTTTTTAATTATTGATTCAAATTTGTAACAAGTAATTAATTAGTTATTGTAGATATATAAGTTTTGATTATCGGTGTTGAGTACTAGAGTAGTATAGAGGTACCCTGCAAAATGTTGATCTACCAAGTTATATCTGTTCATCTAAACCTTAAATGTTTACAACAGTCATAAGGTACCTATATAACTAATCAACTACTCGTTCGAAATTTTATTTTTATAAGTTTAAATTCGCAGTTAATTTAAAATTTTTGCCTTTAATCATAATTCATAATTCATAAAAATTTACAAATTTATAACGATTTAAAATTGTAAGAAAAGTTGTATCAATAAAGACTTAAAAATTAAAATTATCAACAAAAAATTTTTTCC